TGCCTGGCAAGCGCAAGGTCGTGAGTTCGGTTCCCGGTACCGGAGAAAAACCAAAAAAAAAAAAAAAGTGTAATTGTGTCTTCAGGAGACACAAGAATTTAATAAGTATTTGAAAGGAGCTACTCCAATACAGGCCCAAAACAAATTATTAGTGGATAAATTCTGCAAATTTGTGAGTATAAAGAAGTGATCAAGGGGCTGGGGATTTAGTTCAGCGGCACAGCATCTGCCTGGCAAGCGCGAGGTAGTGAGTTCGATTCCCAGTACCGGAAACCACCACCCCCCAAAAAGAAGTGATCAGCCAAGAGTGGTGGCGCATGCCTGTAATCCCAGCACTTGGGAGGCTGATGCAGGAGAATTGCCCCAAGTTTGAGGCCAGCCAGAACAGCAAGACCCTGTCTCAAAAAAAAAGAAGGGACCAAAGTGCAGGAAAAAAAACCAGCAACATCTTACAACCAGCAAAGATGATTTCTGGGGAAACGTGCTTGCAATCATCAGCTTTATTGTACAATTAATACCACTTTACACCAAGCAAATGTTCATACACTGAATAACACCTTCATCGCCATGGTCCTTTTTTAACTCCCCACAGAGAAAGAACCCGTCCAATGGAGCATTCACCACACAGACTTCAAATCTGCACATAAGCCAGTGCTGCTGAAGTGCTCCCCCTAGTGGACACTAGTTTGATGAGGTTTCTCTCCATGTCAACTATTTCTATCTTTGTAACATGAAACTTTGTCTACTCAGTGCACCCATTCTTTCTTGCATTGTTTTATTTCATGATCCAGAGGCTCAAACCCAGAGCCTTGCTCAAGTGATAGAAGTGCTCTACTACTGAGCTCATTCCAGCCCTTAGTTTGTATTGAGACAGGGTCAGGCAAAGTTGCCTATTTTGGTCTGGAGCTCCCAATCCAGCTTCCTCTCTCAGGTGTACAAACTGCTACAGCACCATCTCACTCATGCCATTCCTCTCCCACATACCTAGGGAGAGGCAGTTTCGTGCAGTTTCAAATCGAGTTCGAGGCCAGCCTGAGCTACATAGTGAGTTCAAGGCCAGTCTGAACTGCATAACAAGACCCTGCCTCAAAAAACAAAAACAATCAAATTGGTTTCTTTCTTCTCAATCCTCCCTTTGGAGCTCTGCCCTATTCCACCACCAGTAAGCTGCAGATCATCTTCTGCCAAGCTCAGCACATCGGAGGAGGCTTTTGCTCTTCTTGCCCACTGATCTTTGAGACTTCACCTCTTCCTCCATCTTTTCCAACCCCGTGCCTCAGTCCCTTTGAGTAAAACACCTGAAGTGCTTTTGTTTTCCTGACTAAACACCAACTGATACACCTTCCTACCCCAACTCACCTCCTCCCTTGTAAACAAGTTGCACTTACCAAACTTAGTACTTCCAAGTGCCTAAACTAAAGGCTCACTGTCTCGTACAGTACCAATCTCCTATTTTTTTCTTTTCCTTTCTTCCCGAACTCATCTTTTCTCCCCATCCCCCAAATCCTGCCTTCTCATCCACTCCTAAAAATAACACAAAAGCAAAACTCCCAAGCCCTCCAGTTCCATTTTATCCAATGTTGCTCCGGTGACTGAAGAAGTTTTCCGGAGGGAGAAGGGAACAGCTGGTGTGCATGCAGTCCCACCTCACAGGTTAAGGGGCCTGTGCGCTGCTGTGAATGCAGAAGTTGGCAGCCTCCCTCTGCTTCACTTCCCGATCATCCCTAACCAGGAATGGTTTCCATTCCAGCAGCAAACTCACCGTCTTCAAACAATTCAATCAATTTTGCAACATAGGGATTTTCATCTTCCCCTTCAATCAACACAAACTGTCCAACTTGGATGTGAGTCTGACTTGAACAACCTTCTCTTTTCACAGATATTTCTCTAGGAAGTAACGGAGAAGCTTGTTAGGAAATCTCTTAGGACGAATACATTCTTTAGCCCCTCTGGAACCAAAAAGCGTTCCTTAACCAGAAACTCCCCTAATAGTTTCTCTATGCTGACTAACTCTCCTACTGGGAAACCGACTCACTAAGTTATACATAGAAGAGTAAACAAAATGGGTCAAATGAATTGTTTTTGCACAGATGGTTATAGAGGGCTTAATACAAATCCTAATTTTTCTGGTTTTGACAAAGAACAGAGGTTCCCGACTGGAAAGGTGTCCAATGCTATTATCAAAGCTGCACAGCTAGGAAAGAAACAGTAACAGCATCCCTCAAAACTGCGTAAAGAGTTACAAAGACTCAGCTTCAACACACATGACACGGTTGCACATACCAAAATGTGCTAAGCTATATAACTTTGCCCTCATCACTACTTACACGTAAGCCCACATCAGATAAAGTCCTCCCTTATGTTAATGCATAGCTCCCCTCCCTTGGTCTTCAAGCTAGAGTGCCTAGAAGAGACTGGACACAAAGCCAGGAACAGTTTTGCCTGAGAAGCAATTCTACCAGCCCGACCAAAGAGCCCCGTCACTCACTTGTAGGTCTGGTGGCCCAGTTTTCGATCCAGCAAAGGCCTGCCAACCCATGAATAAGTCTGCCTGCTCTTCTGCCTTGTGTTGTAGGATGCCATGGCTCCTGTGAAAAAGTCCTGACATCTGAGTTACCAAGGCAACACTCATGGAGTCCAAGATATACTCCTGCCTTCCCTAAGTTGAGCCTTTTTTCTTTTTGTGCTGGCCATGCCTTATTCTTGCACACTTTAGACTTCAGGATTGACGAAGATTAAACGTAGGCAATTTAGTATCATCTATGTACCTTTTATATTATTCCTTATTTCACCTTGCACACAAAAATAATACATAAGAAAATAAACTACACATCTTTGGAAGTTCTTACTGGAAAAAGATCCAATAGACATGAAACATCTAATAATGAGGCATAAAATATAAATGCAGGAGCCAGGTGTGCAGCACTCAGTAGGCTGAGGCAGGAGGATGTTGGGAGTTCAAGGCCAGCCTGGGGCTACATAGTGAGTTCAATGCCAGCTTAAATTACATAGTAAGACCCTGTCTCAAATACAACGTATATATGTGTATGTGTATATACACACACCACACATATGCAGTGAAGGAAAACCAGTAACACAAAGGGCCCAGAGGAACCCCTGGAAGTTAGAGGACCAAGTTTTGTGGCTGTTCCGAGAGAAAGGGGGATTCCTGCACTGACTATTGAATAATTAGTAGATATGGATAAGGCACTAAATCCTTACTCTCAATTTTCTTAAATTCAGTCTATTTTAGCTTATTAAAACAGGCATCTTCCTTTGAAAACCAAGCCAAGGTAAAATTTTACTTCCCTTTTCTAGAAGAGCATGGAAGTGCTCAATGAAAAGTAACCTACGTGTACCTGAGTGATTCACCCTAGGTCAGTGGTGGTGAACCTATGGTGCGTATGCCTCAGCAGGCTGTTTTTATCACTGAAACCTCTGAAAGGTTCGCCACCACTGCCCTAGATGGAGGCAGAGCAGTCCTTTCCTCTACCCTGCTCTGTCCATGCCTGTTTTCCAAACCTTAGAGAAGGGTGTCACTGTCCTCAGACTTTTGCAGCTGCTTGGCACAGGTCTAGCTCCAGTGAAATTCCTCAGGGAGGACGTCACCGAACACCTGTGGGAACATTACCCACCCCTGGGTCAGTTTCCATTGCACCATTCCATTATCAAAAAACTGACCATTGTATTACTTTACTATTTACTGTGCTTCCCACATTAGAATGGTAACCTCCACAGAGCAGGGCACTTGGGCTCCCAACTGTATCCAGGTCAGGATTTGGCACAAAATAGGTAAATGAATGGAAGGCAGAAAAAATGAACTGGCTTTAAAAATCCTCAGGACAATAGCAAATGTGGTGAGGATGGACAGAAGCCAGAATTCTCATACACCGCTAAAGGGCATGAAAACGGGTACAACCACTTCAGAAAACTGAACTTAAAAAAAAAAAAACAAAAAACGAATTCTGAATATTTATACCTTATGACCCAGCAATTCCAACAGAAATACATACATATCATCAAAAAATATGAACCAGAATGTTCATAGCAACACTATGCAGCAATGAAATTAAATCAATTTCAACTATACACATAACAGTGGGGGAAACCTCACAACGTAATATTAAGCTAAAGGTACTAAGATGTCAAAGATATAAAAGGCCTGATATTGGCTATGATTTCTTTTGTGCTGTCTCTTTGGAAGAACTCCTGATTAATTTTTTGAACTTTTTCTTAAAGAATGACACACCTACAGAAAAACACCTACATGACATAAAAGACAGATACACAGCTCAGGGAGCTCACTACCGTTTCTTACCCCCGTCCCCACCATTAGCCTAGACTGGTAGGTCAAATGGCCTGGAAATGGCCTGGAACGCCAAGAACAGTAAATGGCCTGGAAAGGCAGGCTTGATTTGTCCTAGCAAAGGCTCTGGCTGCCAGGAGGTGCCCACTGGAGGGTCTTGGTGCCACAGATACCAGATATCTGGAACATGCACACCATCCAGTTCAGGAGCCAGGGTAACAGATAAGGGAGCTGCAATAACATTTGAGTCAGCAGAAAAGGAGGCTGACCAAAACTCGACATATTTATCTTATTTAATTCTTTCAATAATCCTAGAACAATGTTAACACAGATTAAGTGCCTAATATGTGCTCAATAATAAATACTTGCAAAATGAAAGGTAGATGCTATTATCTCTTCAAGATGATAATTTGCCCAATACTACACAGGATGGCTTAGCTTTAAAAACTCAAAACCCTGGCTGGATGTGGTAGCACACACCTGTAATCCCAGCACTCAGGAGCCTGAGGCAGGAGGATCTCCCTGAGTTCAAAGCCAGCCTGAACTACATAGTGAGACTGTCTCAAAACAAAAAACAACAAAACCTCAAACCCTGAACAGCCAAATTCCAATGATTCCAATGTACTCTTAATTACCCCCACCCCTTACAATACACTCTTCTATTGAGTGATGTCATTTCAGGTCTGAAAGAGCTTGCACCTGGTGGCTTATTACAGTAATCAGGCTTTCCAAGCACTGAATGAGAAGTAGACTGGGCCTCAATTTTCTTATCCACAAAATGGAAATAAGAGAATCTTCCTTTTATTCAACCAATATTATTAAGCACCTATTTTGATCTGGCACTATTCTAGGATTACTAATGATTAAGTAAGAAAATGCAAAATGATAAATCCACCCCCTAAAACCTCTTGCATTCATCTGTAAGGGACAGAAATTGTATTTACCTTTTCAGTAGAATTTGAGGCTATGGAACTCAGTCTGTGCAAAACGTTCAAGGAATCCAGTTCCAAGGAATCCACAAACCTTCTAAAGTCCGTATACTGCCCTCTATTACAACTAAAAACTGTTGCAGAGACATTTAGTAAAGCATGTTCACATTGAACAAACCACCAGAGAGGGTACTCTTACTCGTATTTTACTGACAACTGAAATCAGATCTAATCTTTGCAGTTTCACAGGCAATAGACATTTTTTTTTTTTTTGATGCCGAGAATAGAACTCAGGACCTTCGGCTCGCCAGGCAGGCACTGCACCGCTGAGCTATATCCCTAGCTCCGGACAGGAGACTCTTACATCTCATTCTCCTAAGTCCAGTGCTTTTCTTCAGCTATCACAGCAGGTCAGTAGAAAGGGAGCCCCTGCATTTCCCTATTGGAAAGAAGATGGATAGGGGTCCCAGCAGTTCAGAGCAAGTTATCCGGAAAAAAGAAGACCCAGGTAGGAGTTTGGACCCCTCAGTCACAAAAAGCGACCCCGCCAAGTCTCTCTGGGCATAGTCACTACACACGTAAAGTGCGGTGAGAACACCTGCTCCGCCTTCCCTGTAGAGCTTGCTACACTATGGATCAGGAGAAAAGATGCGAGCGCTTTTCACAGGCAAAGCAGATGGAAGAAAAGGCTGAGACCATTCCTGAGCGTCTCAGGGCGCAATGCTCACGCTTCTCTGTTGGGGGCTTCCAGCTCACGCACTGCATCCACAGCAAACTCTCAACTGCCCGGCTAAGCGAGAAGCCTTTTAGGAACCGCGAGGTGAACGCCGGGAGCCACTGAACAGGCGCTCGGTGCGCGTCGGCTGAAAGCAGCAAAGAGTGAGTCTGCAGAGAACGGCGTCCTCGGTTCCAGAGGCCCGGCGCCCCCTCCAGCCCGCGGGCCGCCACACTCACCGGGGGCCGAACCTCCCGCGGGCTCTCCGCTTCCCACCGCCTCCGCTTCGGGATCCCTACGGGCTGCAGCAACTCCAACCTGCCCGAGCTAGACTTCTCCCCTAACAGCCACCAACTGCTCACCCTAACCAAAGCTGGTGCCCGGCTAGAACTCGAGAGTGCGGAAAAGAAAATTTCGCGCCAAAGGGCGTGGCCCCGCCCCAAGCCGTCTACGCGTGGCGTCACCAACCACAGCCCGCTCCGCCAGGGCGGAGCGTGACCTACCTGGGAGGGCGGGAGTGACGTACTTCCGCTGACGCCAGCAGCTGGCGACAGTTCTATCGGTGCGCGGCTCCCGGAAGGTCTTTACGCTGAGCTTTCCTCTTCCGAGTTGGTTTCCCGGCGGATTTAGAGAGATTTCGTCCACCTTTCTCCGTCCTTTTGGTTGTATTTTATTGACCTGGAGGTGACATAGCAAAGGATCCGACGGAATTAGGTAGAACTGAAAGAATTCTAAAATGGCGAATCGTACAGTGAAGGATGCGCATAGCATCCATGGTACCAACCCCCAATATCTGGTGGAGAAGATCATTCGGACACGAATCTATGAATCTAAGTACTGGAAAGAAGAGTGCTTTGGACTCACAGGTGAGCAAGAGCGCGCGGACTGCCTCGGCCTCCTTGTGGCCTCTTTTCTCCTGACTCGATCCTGGTAGGACCGACCCGTAGAGTGGTACTGGAGAGAAGTATATCAGTTATCAAAAACAATTTGATCGCCTACTGTGTGCCTAGACGTACTTTGAGTATTGAGGTCATCGATGAATTAGAGTCTTACTTTATTATGAAGGGTGTCTCAGGTTGAAACATGCCAAGTAATGTTAGCCAGGTGGGTTCCAAACCTGGGTTTAAAACTGTTGAACTCAGGGAGCTGGATATAACTCCCTGACATAGACATCTGAAGGTCCTAAGGGAAGTCACCATACCTAAAATCAAATTCTTAATATCCTTAAGTTTAAGTCAGTTCCAGTATTTCTACGTGTGAGTCCTAATATAAATGTAAGTGTTTGAGGGAAGCCTTCTAGGTCTTTTAGTCTTACGGCCTTTGTTCGAATTCGGGCATAAATCCATGTCCTGTAGCACTGACTGTGGACCTCGGCTTGGACCTAGTAAGCCAAGCAACCTTCCTTAATCCTCCTTTTGCTCACCTGGAAGTAGGGACAGTGTTAGAACGTTCTGATTCATGGTAAAGATTAAATGATTAATAGTAAATGTTTAGTCTTAGTACTTAGTGTATCGAAACCTTTCCCATTGTATTAGTTGCTGTCATTGATATTAGTGTTATACACTTATTCCCCCAATATTAAGCTCTTGGTGGCTGTTACAGTCCAAATCTTGAACTATCCCATTTCTATCCAAAAAAAAGCTCTTACTTGTTTTTGTTTTTTTAGCCGAACTTGTAGTTGATAAAGCCATGGAGTTAAGATTTGTTGGTGGCGTCTATGGTGGAAACATAAAACCAACTCCCTTCCTGTGTTTGACCTTGAAGATGCTTCAAATTCAGCCTGAGAAGGATATCATTGTAGAGTTTATAAAAAATGAAGATTTCAAGTAAGTGCATGTTGACTAGCTATTATAAAAGCTTCAATTTAAGCAGGGTGTGGTGGTGCATGCCTGTAATCCCAGTACTGGCTGAGGCAGGAGGCTCACCAAAATATGAGGCCAGCCTGGACTACATAGTTTAAGGCCAGTCTGTACCACGAGACCCTGTCTCAAACAAACAAACAAACAAACAAAAATCCAAGGGCCGGAGATAAACAGTGCCTGCCTGGCAAGTGTGAGGTTGTGAATTCAATTCCTGGTACCAAAACAAACAAACAAAAAACACCAAAAATATTTTTTTAAAAAAGCTTCAATTTAGTGGTTGAGAATTGGACTTTGGTCAAGAGCTGTGAACACAATGTATCTCATCTCCCCAGAGTTGTATTTGAGGTTTTTGTTCTTTAACACTTGAACTTCTTTGTTTGTTCTGATTGTATCAATCTTCTACTTTAGTTTCTCAGTCTTAGTAATTTTTCACCCACAAAAGTATTTCACAAATTGAATATTCAGGGGAAACCAATGTCTAATGTGTTGGTAAGGGAAAGTACCAGGACGCCTGTTGTGACATCTGGATTCATGTGTAGACTTCCTTTCTCCAAGGCTGTGGCCTTGGAGAAATCCTTAATTTTCTGAGCTTTAATTTCTTTAACCTGTAAAATGGGAATAAGAAGATGAATTCATAGGACTTACAGGGGAGTTAAGGTAGTATATGCATACCAACACAGTGCCGGTTGCATGGTGTAGTGGATTGACAACTGGTGATCAACTTATAACCCCCAGCTGAACTGAGTAAGTATGGTGCTGGGTGTGGGAGGCCCACCTGAGGATTGTTGCCAGCAGCATTCGAGGCAGAACTGGAGAAGAAGTTGTTAGGCTGTTGGGAGCAGAGAAGGGCTTTTGAGAACTAAAAGGCTGTTGGGAGCTGGTAGAAGCTGTAAGGAGCTGTTGGTTTTTTGGAGGAGCTTGTCATGCTGGCCTGATGAACTTGGCTGTTTTCATCCTCCAAGGAGCTCGGGACCTTGTTGGCACTGAGAATAGCTTCAGTTCACTTTGGGGGAGCCCTAGTCCTCACTTTGAGCATCACTTCCTGGCTCCGGAGGGGAAGGAGGTACACTGCCAGTCTCCTAGAGAAGCTTGCTACGTTGGCTTCCCTGATGGGAACTCAGCTGTCTTCACCATTGGAGGAGCTCAGGACCTCACTGTTGCTGAGGATGGCGGTGGTACCTTTCGGGGAGCTCTGGTTCTTATTTTGTGTTTCGCTTCCTGGCTCCAGTGCAGGAAGCACTGGAGCTCCCTCAGCCTGCTAGCACAGATTCTTCATCCTGCTGGCACAGACTTCCTAGATTCCACCACTGATCTTTGGGCCTTCCCAGTGCAGATCTGTGAAACAGGCCTGCATGAGATATTGTTATAGGCTCTAGGCCTCCAGTTGGACTTGGGGGAGGCATTGTTATGATCTGTAGGTCTTCAGCTGGACTCAGGCAGGACATTTCCGTGGGATCCAGGCCCTCAGCTGGATTCCTTGGTCTTAGTGTGTGGACAGATTTCCTGCACTCTCTTGTATATGATTCTTTGGGTGACTATTATAAATAATCTTATAAAATATGTGTCCTGTATTATATTGTCTCCCTTGCAAAAATAACCCCCAAAACCAACACACAAGTTAAACAGCTAAATGTGTTGGCTGCCTTTTTATTTTTGTCCATTCTGAAGAAGCTCACAAATATGAGAGACATATGGTAATATTTTTGCCACATGCCATGCTGTGTTCCAAGGGCTTTAAATACAGTAATTCACTTGACTTTCACATCAGTGCCATAAAATTACTACCCCTATTTTAGAAGGAAACTGAAGCACCAAGAGATTTAAGTAATTTGCCCAAGGTCAAGCAGATAGGAAGTGGCAAATATTATATGCTGTGCTTAGCACTTTCTTTGGGTTTCTTATTGAAATTTTTGCAGCCAGTAAATTAAGTACCATTATCTCCATTTTACAGTCATTGAGAAAACAAATGACCTGCCCTGCAGAGTTGGTAAATTATGGAATTGGAATTTTAACCCAGATAACTAATTTTTTCCAACACCCATGTTCATGGCTGTGTACTTGATCTGGTCTTATTGAGTACATTTTATACTTTTTATTAACACCAGCATCTCCTGGGATTCTTAAAATATTCCTGTGAAGTAGATGGTTTTTATCCTAGTTTTACAGATGGTGTATCTGAAAATTGAGCAACATGTGTCAAGTTTCTGGAGCCAGAAATAGAGAAGGGAAACTTGAACTCAGGTCATATTTTAGCCATCTTCTGTTCTATGCTGCCTCCAAAGTCCACCTTTCTAGTCCCCCAAAGAGATGAAAGAACACCTTTATCTTCTGCTGTCATGAGAGGAGCCGGTTGTAAAACTCGGGAACTATGTTAGAATGGCTTGTTTTTCATCTGCCAGGTATGTCCGCATGTTGGGAGCACTTTACATGAGGCTGACAGGCACTGCGATTGATTGCTACAAGTACTTGGAACCTTTGTACAACGACTATCGAAAAATCAAGAGCCAGAACCGAAATGGAGGTGAGTGCCAAGGCTGTTACGCCACGCCAGTTTTTATGTCCCTGTATCCTTAAGTCACTTTCCACATGTTCTGTCCTCATAGTTCTGCTAGCCTGCTCTCCAGAGCTCTACTCCACAGTGCTGTACATAGAGCGAGTGTACGCTTACTCGTGTAGGAACGCCACTGAAAGCTGGTACATACAGGGCCGCTCCATACCTTTTATAGAAAGGCTTTCTGCTCTGAGGAAGAACCTGGGTAGTGATCTTTGTCACTTAGTGTCGTAACGAAAGACTGTAACATTTGCTTTTCCCCTATGTGTGTCACTAAACAGTAGAAGACTAGTAAGTTGGTACATGTTGAATATCCCATATTCAAGATGGTTTGGGACCACAGTGTTTCAGATTTAAGAATTTTTTGGGTTTTAAAATATTTCTGTAAACTTCACTGACATTTTGGGCCAGATAATGACTTGCTGTGGGGGGCTTTCCTGACCATTGTGGAATGTTTGAGAGCATCCCTGGCCACTACTCCTGGATACAAGTACAACTTCCTATTAGCAGGGTGATAGGGTTATGGTTGAGAACCACTAAACTAAGGTAATGTATGCCACGGAAGTTGTAAAAAGCTGTTACTGCATGTGCCATGTAAAATACACGTTCTGTACTCAGAAACATCATGGATTCATATGAGAAATCACACAAGAGTTATATGATGTTAAAATTAATGTGAATTGATACAAAATTTTACTTCTAAATTATTAAAATTACCTTGAGTTACGTGATCTATTCAAGGGCATCCCCACATACTTCAGGACTGTTTGTGGTTGCTTTTGTGTTTGCCTCTCCTGCTAATTGGGTTTACTCTGTCTTCATATTACTTCCAGGTTGCTTGACCTAATGACTTTTTCTTTCAGAGTTTGAACTGATGCACGTAGATGAGTTTATTGATGAACTGCTGCACAGTGAGAGAGTCTGTGATATCATTCTGCCTCGGCTACAGGTGAGAGACAAAGGTTTATTATGGGAGGTTCCCATCTCCAAGACAGGCAAATAGACAAACACGAATCCATATTGAAACACAGAAGCCCTGGGTCATTGGGGTCCTGCTGCTAAGCATCTCCGTAGCTATGAGAAAGAAGATGGGGACTGAGAAGAAAGTGAAGTATTTTGAGGGTAGAACACTAAAAGTGAAGGAGTTTCTAAACTTTGTGAGCGGCTTTTTTCATATTAATCATATAAAGCCAGGCTGTTTAACAGAGAAAGAGGACCAGGAGTGGGGAGTTAGGTCCTTGCTTCATGAAACCTCGCCTTTATCAACATCCTTTCTGTTAAGGAATTTTCCTTGAAGCACCCTTTAAGGTCATGTTTTTGATTTAAAAACTACTGTTGGGAAATATGTAGGGAACACATTCGTGGGCACCTTAAAGAGAAAGGGAATGGCCTTACAGTGGAGAGATAACTGGATAGGAAGTTAGGAAACCTAAGTTGTAGGACCTGGTCCTAATTTCCACTCTACAAAATGAGATCAGACTAACCAAATGGTCTTCTTAAAAATTTATTATTGTTGTTAATTTTTTCTTTTAACCATTAACTGAAGTACCTTGTTTGTTTATTCTTCTTTCTTTTTTGGTAAAATTGACCTACAATGAAATGTAAATCTTAGGCACATTCTCAGAGTTTTGATAAATGCTATAAACTCCAAACTTTTTAATTTTTTTATTAATACAATATTTGGGGGTGCATGTTTGCAGTACATAATGACCACATTCATCATGGGAAGTTAGTACATGTACATAACAGATCTTAGTTCTTTTTTTAATACTCTTCCCCTCTCCTCTCCTTCCTACCTCCCTCCATCTCTTGGTCCCATTTACTTCTACAAAATTTGTATCTCCAGTACCACATGCTTTTTAAACTGCTCTGTAGGTCTGTTTTAAGGGTACTGAGAGGAACAAATGGAGACAGCTCCACATATTCCAACCCGGTTAGCTCCTTTTTGTTCTAGGTTACATGTGGGGCTTGAGCAGGAAGACTTCCTTTGAATGAAGCCTTTCTGTCTTAACTGGCTTTCTTGCAATATATAGATTAAAATTTGGTAAGTTTTTGCTTATGTGTAACCTTTGAAACCATCACTGCAATCAAAATAATGACTCTTCTTTCCTGTCCCTCCTTTTTCCTAAGCAACCACCAGTGTGCTGTCACCGCAGATTAGTCTGCATTTTGGAATTATGTGCTACATGTTCATTTTCACTGGGCATAATTATCCTGAGATTCACTGTGTTGCCGCATGTATCACTGATTTGTTACATTCTGTTGCCTAGTATACCATTGGATATACCACAGCTGTGAAACGTTTTATCTGTTTATGCATTATTTTGGAATACCAGGTCAATACACAAAAACCCATTGTATTTCTATACGTTAGCAATGAACAATAGGAATTTGACACTTTTTTAAAAGATGTAATTTACAGTATCATCAAAAAATTTAAAACAAGGGAAATGTTGTCAAAAGATAAGCAAGACTCATACACCTAAAACTGTAAAATGTAGCATTACTAAGAGAGACTACAAATCTAACAAATGGGAAGATGTCCAGATGCTTCTTGACTCCTCCTGAGGTTATACCCTAGTCAGTCCTTCCTGTGTTGAAAATGTGCTTTCTTTATCTAACCTGCCAAATAACACAACATAGCACAGCTTATTTTGAATATGCTCAAAACATTTATGTTAGCCTGCAGTTGAACAGAATCATCTAACACAGCCTATCTAATAAGAGAATGTTAAATGTCTTATAATTTATTGAATACCTGTATCTGGAGAATGTTGCTGACACAGTGTAGTGTAGAGTTCTGCTTGTCTACCCTTGTGATGATGTGGCTGACTAGGAACTTTGATTCACTGCCACTGCCTGGCATTGAGAGGTTTTTTGGTTTGGTTGGTTAGTTGGGTGGTTTTTTTTGTTTGTTTGTTTGTTTTTTTGAGACATGGTCTTACTGTGTACTGCACGCTAACCTCAAAGTTGAGGCAGTCCCCCTGCCTCAGCCTCCCAAGTGCTGAGATTACAGGTGTGTACCACAAAGCCCAGCTCCTAAGTCTTACTTTAAAGCTATAATAACAAATGCATCACTGAACTGCCATAAGGCAGACAAATGGAATAAAATAAAGGAACTAGTAATAGCTTGTATACATGGACAGTTGCTTTTCTACAGACATGCTAGGGTAAGTCCTATTGAAAAATGATAATCTTTTCCACAGATGGTGCTAGAAAAATTAAAAAACCATAGGCATACAAATGAATCTGCCTTTCCTCACACCGTATATAAAAATTAACTTGACAGGGATCACAGACTTAAAAACAGAACTACAATAGCAGGTACCTTATGTTGTCAAACATTTCTGTAATGGAATACAAAAACCATAAATTTAAAAAAATAAATTTGTGGGCTGGGAATTTAGCTCAGTGTCACAGCACCTGCCTGGCAAGTGCAGGGTCGTGAGTTCGATTCCTGATACTGGGAAAAAAAACAAAATAAATAAATAAATAATATGTAGATCTTTTGATTTTCTAAAGACTGTATTCCAAAAATGGAAAGTGTATGTGCACAGCATACAACAAAGCATACTTAAACTTGTAATATGTAAAGAAATTGCTTGAGCTTAATAACAAGACAACCCAGTGATTGTTTCCCAGTGGCATGATAAGTGAATCTTTTTACATTGACTTTACTGGTTGAGCGTACCTAATCAGAGAATCCAAAATGCTCCAAAGTCCACAATTTCTTGAACGTCATATTGGTGTTCTGAAAGTTTTAGGTTTTTTAGCATTTCAGAAGGGGGATGCTCAACCTGTATTCTTAACCGCCTTATTCGTAGTGGTTGGAAACTGGAAAGAATCCAAGTAGGCATCAGCAAATGACAAAGTGTGGTATATTCATACAGTGGAATGCTGCTGAGCAGTAAAAATGAACTACAGAGTAACTTGGGTCAGTTGCACTGTGTGAAAAAAAGAATATTCATATGGAATTGTAGTAACTGTAAACTATAATAACAGAAATTAGATCAGTAGTTGCCTGGGTACCGAGTGAAAGAGTGAGGAGAAAGGAATGAGATAAAAAGGGATGTAGGGGCCGGGGATATAGCACAGTGGCACAGTGCCTGCCTGGCACACGCAAGGTCCTGAGTTCAATTCCTGTACCCCCAAAAAAGGGGCATAAGTAAACTTTCGGGGAAGAGGATATATTTATATGTTTATGTACTGCTGGTCTAACAGTTGTATACAGTATGTGTCAGCCCATACAGCTGCATACAGTACTTGTGCGGTTTATTGTTAGTTTTACCTCGAAACTTTTTAAAACTTGTGAGAATCATTGGAATAGATGCAGACTAAAGGTCGCCGGCTCTTTCCACTCTACTGTTCTCTGATTCCACACATCCCCATGGTAGATAGGGGTCTTCTGTCCGGGGGCATAGAAGTGGAACTGAGCCAGGGAGTTTGGCTGAGGCAAGCAAAACTTTATCAGGAGGGTTTTACTTCTGGGAGATACAGTGACGGAGAGAATAGTCAGGCTTGTTAGAAAGATGAAAGCTTTTTTACTGGTGTAATGATTGCAAGGGGTAAGCTAAGGTCTAGGAATTTTTCATTGGTCCAGGATAAAAAGTTTTTTTTTCCCTGTGCAGACCTCTTGGCCTTAAGAAACTGGTCATCAGTTTATCATTGAAGCTGTGAATGCCCCATTTTGCACAAACGTCCTGGCCTTATGATTAGGATGGGGCTCTACAGTTCCTGAGAGAACCTCTTGGGGGATGGGGTAGAAGAAGACACAAATCATGCTTTTATCTCATTATGGGCCTGGGAGTTATTTTGCCTCTGTCCCTTTGTGATGATCCCCCAATGATGTACCTGCTTTTTTAAGGTTAATAATGGAGAGAGAGAGGATGTAGGGGAAAACACTACTGTACTTTCAAAAGGTAACAGGCCCTGAGCTAAGGTCCTCGGAGTACACTTGCCCTTTGTTCCCTGACCCATAGTTTTTAGAACTCATAGCATTAACTAAAGGGTCCCAGATACAGTTTGTAGGTTGGGGGTAGGGACAGTTTCTTATATGTTGAAGTAATCACAGAAACTCCCAACCAGGTAGGTTCTCTGCCTAAGCTCTCCTTTTAGATGCTATCTGATGCTCAGTAATTTCTGAAACAATTTGTTGTATCACATCTCAGAGATGCTTCATTCTGCTTAGAAACAAAAGGAATTGTTTTTAAAAATTTCTATTAGTACACATTTGCAGTACATGATTACTTATGGGGAGTTAGCAAATGTGCATAACATATCTTAGTTGTTTTTACTTCCCCTTTTCCTCCCCTCCCGCTCTTGGTCCAAAAGGCGTAATTTAAAAATCAGAGATGTAATATATTGTATGGTTCCTTTTTTATGATACAGAATAGACAAATCTATAGAGAAAAAAAAGGCAGATTTGCTAACACAAAACGCAGGGATGGGGTAATGATGAATAATTATTTATTGGATATGGGGTGCTTTTTCTGGAGTAGTAAAAAGTTTTAGAACTAGTGAGGTCATTTTTCACATTGTACATACACAGAATTATACACTTTAGTATGGCTAGTTAAATGAATTTCACCTCAATAGTTAAAAAAGACAAAGGGATAAAAACTTTAAATAAAGCAAAAAGGAAAGAAGAAAGGAAAAGAACACATTCAGCACATTCCCAGTGGGACCATAATTTGTATGTCTCGCTGTCACACAGCTTGAACCACTGGTGGTGCACGCATGACTGTCCCCGCAGGTGGCCCTCTATTAATTTTGTTAGTAAAAAGGCCAGTAAAAGTGATTAGATCCATTTGTACCATCAGTGGTACAAGCCGCCCCACGGGACAGTCATATAGTACCGCCCAGCTCCCAGCTGGTGGGAGTGTGTTGGAATTGGGAACTGAGTGCAGATACCTGACAAATGAGTGAGACGAATTTGCTTGAGGCAGCCAACCATCCGCATGGGTGTGATTGGTAGACAGGTGCTCAGTACTGAACAGCAGCGCATCAGCTTCCACATGGAGCCAGCTCTTACCCTGTGAGTAAAGATCCGCAAAGCGGATGTGGTGTGTCTCTCCTGTTCCGTACTCACTACTCTGCAGCAGATAGTGAAGAGAATGAAATCACCAATCTAAAACCTGCTTTTGGGGATCAGTTTTCACACCACCTCATTGTGGGCTACACTATTACTACCTTTAACTGTTCTTACTTTTAGAAATGTTGCAAAGATTGGGAAAACTTCATGTGCAGTCAGGTTGCAGCTAAGGGTTCCAAACCCCAGTGAGCTCTGAGCAAGCCTGTTACTGTAAGCAGTGTGACTTGCATGTAGTCTAGAAGGAAAGACCACAACATGAGCATCTTTTAGTACCTATCAAGCCTGACTAAGGAGAGAGAAATTGAAATCTGACCGATAAATGTTACCAAATCACCGAAAGGTGTGTTCCGATATGAACCGCTATAAGTCCTTAGACTACCTTTTGCTGGACATGGTGGCACATGCCTGTAAGCCAAACTTCTGGGAGGCTGAGACAGGAAGACCATGAGTTCAAGCCCAGCCTATACAACCTGTTGAGACTCTGTCTTTTAAAAAAAAAAAGAAGATCATAATAATGAGGCTGGGAATGCAGGTCAGTGTGAAAGCCCTGCATTCAATCTCCAATACTACTGGGGGAAGGAAAAATAAAAAGACTGTTTACCCTGAGTCTGTTCTTAGTAACCAACCCTCAGGTCATCAGTGTAGTGGGCACCCCCAGTACTGTTCACCAGCTGCTCCTCCTCGTTCATAGTGGGTTGTCACAGCCTCTCCATGCAGCCCAGGGTGCTCAACTATTGTTTCTGGCCAACGTAAGTATTTGTGTTTGATGGAATGAAAATACATTCCAAAGCAACTTCCTGCCAACATCAAGGCACATCCAGCCAAAGCTGAACTGAGCTGGGTGTGATGCTTGCCTATAATCTCAGCCCTTGGGGAGGCTGATGTAGGATTTCAAGTTTGAGCCTAGTCTGGGCAATTTAGACCTTGTCTCAAAAAAACCCAACCAAACAAGTGAAAAACAGGCTGGGCATATACCTCCCTACTCAATTTACAAGTACTTCATAAACTCTGCCATTTACTAGTCCACCAAGCATGCAGAGTTGGAAGAGGCTTGAAGAAAGTCATGATCCATTTATTTATGGTCATTAACCTGGCAACACATAAGACGGTATTTAACATTTTTGTGTAGTAAAGCAGATCATTATACTCTAGCCTTTCAGGATTATTTATTTATTTGACTTCATTTTGGGAATCTTTGCCACATAATTACGAATGTCCTTCCCCATCTTTTAGCAAGTGTGACTATTAAATACACTGCTATAGTGTGATTTAATGCAGTATATTTTATTGTAATTGACTTATCAAAGCAAGGGACTAACAAACTCCTATTAGTCAGAACTACTAAAGACAGTTTTAAAGAGGGAAATGGAATTCATAGTATCACCTCTTATTTATTATGAGCAATAATTAGTATAAAGTTTTACATGTTTAAAAAAAAAGAAGTAACGATTTCAGACTCTCCTGAGTCTGGTAAGTATTTTTTGTGCACTGTTGGATACTGTCCTGGATCCCAAACTCCATCCCGTTACATACCTCATTTCTTTCAATCTTTATAGAATTTTAACGGAGGATAAATGAGAGCTAAGTAGCATACACATAATTCTCATTATTCTACAACTGCCTGTCCAGGCCACTGAGCATTCTTGTTTTTTTTTGTTTTGTTTTGTTTTTGTTTTTCTTCCGGTACCAGGAATCGAACTCACGACGTTGCGCTTGCTAGGCAGGCGCTGTGCCACTGAGCTAAATCCCCAGCCCCCCACTGAGCATTCTTTATATCCTTGTGTCAGGAAGATGGTGAGCAGTCTCATGACCCAGTCATTCCATCTGGCTGGGTCTCTTCCCTTGAAACTGTCAAGCAACCCAATCTCAGCCACAAACTTTGGATTTTCTGTGTATCTGACAGTGTATGCTCATAGGAGATAGAACCAGCTGAAAATTAATTTCTTCCCTTCAGCTTTGTATTTATGTTTGTGGCAGAAATCAAGAGAGTATACAGATTCCATGTATATTAAACTCTAGGAAAATCTAAATTGTCTTTGAAATCACTACAGCTCTTGTTCCGTGGCTTTTGTCAGTGTCAGAAGCCCAGCGTTATGGCCTCAGGACATAGAGGAGAGGGCAGTGACTTGTAACTAACTTTATGTTCTCTGCAGAAACGCTATGTGCTAGAAGAAGCTGAGCAGTTGGAGCCTCGAGTTAGTGCGCTGGAAGAAGACATGGATGATGTGGAGTCTAGTGAAGAGGAGGAGGAAGAAGATGAGAAGGTGAGGCACCTAGGAATCTTAGAAGCTGAGGGTGGTTGAGAATGGTCCTTGTTTTTGTTTCCAAACTTTAATTTTTAATTTTCTTTCAAAAAAATTTTTCCTATCACAAATACAAACTTTAAAGTCAAGTACCCCTTGACTCATATCTTACCATTGTCATTTACTAGTGTTATAATCTTAATGTTCCTTCTTTTTTTTCCTCCTAGTGCTGGGAGTTGAACCCATAGCTATGTCCCCAGCCCCTTAATAGTGGTATAATTATGAAAATTATTTAATCATAATTTTCTTCTTTGTAAAGTAAGGATAGTCATGTTCTCTCAGGACTGTTGTGTTAAATGACCCTTCCTTTCCCCTTTTTATTCCATTCAAGCTTTGAGCTTACTAGTTAATGTCACCCATACCCAGTCAGTGGACTAATCCAGTTATCACATCCACGATCCAGTCCCTCTCAAAAGCTCCACCTGTGAGTGCATGGTGCTTTGAGGGGACATCTAGATAAAAACTATAACAATGGTGAAGTGAGATCTAATTACTTTTACTTGATATGCATAACTGAAAATCTCATTTTTAAAAAAAACCGCCATTCTTGGGCTGAGGGTATGGTTCATTGGTAGTGCTTGCCTAGCATGTGCAGGGCCCTGAGTCTGGTACCTAGCACCACATGAAACAACAAAACAACCCCATTGTTTTCCCACTTGCCTGCCTTGTTTATATATGTGTGTCGGTCTGTTTCTGTTGTCACCGTCCTGGCCATTTTATACAAATGCTACACTGTCCTGATTATATAACTTAAGAAGAAGTCTGAATTTTCACTAGAGCAAGAGATTTCTATGTAAATAATAGAATCTACTGCAAAGTTTAAAAGAAACCTGCTAGTATTTTGATTAAAATTGCATTGACTCTATAAACAAACTTTGAGGGGAAATGAAAGTGACATCTTTTTGATAGCCATGAAGATAGTATATCTGACAGCCATTGTCTCTGTGAGGAGTGTGCATTTGTTCTAATTATTTCTTTGATGTGACCTGTGGCCCCACCCCCACTGCTTTAAGATCTTATTGTTTAGCTGGTTATTTTGCAGTTTTACTATCTCTGGGGTATGACTTTACTTTTATTTACCTACCCGTGGGATTGTTTCCCAGATGCTTTTCATCAGTTTTCCCCTCTACACTCTCTCCATTCTCTCTCTTAGATGCAAGCTTTTATTCCATCCAGCTTGTCTGTGTTTACCTTTTTTTTTTTTTCTTCCTGAAACAAGGTCTTGCTGTGTAGCCCAGGCTGGCCTTGAACACACGGCAATCCAGTCCTGCCTCAACCTCCCGAGTGCTGGGATTATAGGCATGCGCCTGGCTTCTTTACCTTTTTTAAATCTTGTTTGCCCATGCTAGCTCCTAAACTATGATGTCACTGGCCGCTAAGCATCTTCCAGCTCTGTTATGATCTATGGGACCACCACCATATATCCAATCTGTGGGTGACAGAAAAGCCATTATACAGGACATGCCTATTTCTGTTCCTATAGATAGCTAGGGACACCACTGACTGGGACCTTCTCAGCTTTGAGTCCTAGATGCCTTTCATGCATCGGTGTTTATGCAGAGCTCATTATTTTTCCTTAAAGCCTTATTATAGTATTGACATTGTTTTCAGGCAGCTCTACTGGATTCCTATTGCTTTAGCCCCAGTACCTCATTGCATCAGGTTATTTATCCTGTACAGATTTTCAGCCTGTATTTTTCTGATTTCCTTCCTATGATGCTGCTTAACATTCACATGTCCCTTGTATTTCCTATAAACTATTAGACCTACAGGCTTAATCAGATTTGAGGGATTTTTTGTTTGTCTTTTGAGACAGGGTTTCACTATACAGTTCAGGCTAGCCTTCAGCTCACTTTGTAGCCCAGGCTGGCCGAGAACTCAAAGCGATCCTCCTACCTCAGCCTCCTGAGTACTGGGATTACAGGTGTGTACCACCACACCCGGCCACTTTTGGGGATTTTTATCTCATTTTGGAGTGTAACAACACTGTTTCATAGCAATGGTATGTATGTCCCCTGGGGTGTCTCACTTTTTGTAATGTTAGAATCCACTGATGAGCAATGACTAGCTCCTTCAGGTTTTATAAAATAGTGATATATTCTAGTTCTTTCATCATCATTTTCATCTGGAATATACCTGTAAAAGGAAACATTCCAAAGCCATGCATGATAGTGCATGCTTGTAATCCCAGCACTTGCAAAGCTGAGGCAGGAGGTTCACCAAAAGTTCAAGACTAGCCTGGGCTACATAGTGGAGTTCAAGGTCAGTTTGAACTACATAGTGAGACACTCTCAAAAACCAAAAATAAAGGAAAGGTTCCAAATCAGCATTTAGTTTTTCACAGGTGCAGTTTATAGAGGAAAGACAATTGATCCCTTTTCTTTACCAGCCTTAAAAGTTGACTATATACTATCCTCCCGAAGTGATGCTATTTTACCTCTAATAACTTTACAACTGACCTAAAACAATTTTAAGACAGGGTCTCTCTTTGCAATTCAAGCTGGCCTTGAACTTACTATAAAGCTCAGGCTGGCCTTGAACTTGCTGTGATCCTCCTGCCTCAGCCTCCTGAGTACCAGGATTACAGGTGTGTGCCACCACACCTGGCCTTGACTTAAGCAGTTCTGATGTTTTAATCTGTTGTCTGTGTCAACAATCAAATTGTCCCATCTTTGGCCAGTGGAGGCTTCTTCTGCTTAATTTCTTAGATTCCTTGATGTAACTGTAGAAGTCTTCAGTAGCTTCCGTGCGTCCTCATGTGTATTCCAGTCACATCTGGCATACTTACACCCCAGACCTTGAGTCAGCCATTTCCATGAAATCTTCCCCCTCCCCCCACAATGAAGTCTTTAGTTTAACAGTATATGATATTTAGATACTACAGTCTGGGCACTGTAAGTAGTCATTAGTAGCAGGTTGATTGGTGTTGGTAAACATTTACTTTTGGCAGTACTAAGGGAAATTTAGTTTTGAGGATTTAGATACACCATGGCCTTTTACTTAATTGACCTGTACCTTTTTTTTTTCCTAAGACAGGGTCTTGTTATGCAGTTCAGGCTGGCCTTTAACTCACTATGTAGCCTAGGCTGACCTCAAACTGGTGACAATCCTGCCTCAGCCTCCAAGTGCTGAGATTACAGGCATGTGCCACCATGCCCAGCTTTTCTTTCATTTTGGAAATCCAGCTTGTTTTTGTCTTCACGGTTATCACACTATGTAATCACCTTACTGTGTTATAGAGTCACTGGGACATGGGCTTCAGGACAGGCTGAGGAGGGGAGTATAATCAGTATTCCTAGATGACTGACCATTAATAGCCTGTGCTCATCACTGACCCATTCCTCTTCTTTCCAGTTGGAAAGGGTGCCATCGCCTGATCATCGGCGGAGAAGCTACAGAGACTTGGACAAGCCCCGCCGCTCTCCCACACTGCGATACAGGAGGAGCAGGAGTCGGTCTCCCAGAAGGCAAGGCACTAGTCCTTAGATTTTGGGTGTTACAGTCTAGGAGTTTGGATTTTGGGGAAAGAAAAATGCCAGCCTATGGAGAATGTTTGCTCAGTGTATTAATTACCTATTGCTGCAAAACCACTACACACAAAACCTCATGAGCAGACAATGAAAACCATTTCTTTACTTCACAAGTGTGTGGTCAGTGATTTAAGGTGGAAGTAGAGATGCATTAGTTGGAGTACAAACTGTGTTTATTGACTTTATACTGGCTCATATAAGCTGGCCTTTGCAAGGATGGCTGGGGCAATTTAATGTCTTTTCTGTGTCTCAGCCTCCAGCAGGCTATTAAATATGTTCTCATGACAGTGGCAGAATTTAAGAATACGCAAGTCATTCAAGCAAGCGCTTTTCCAGTATCTGCTTGTGCCACATTAGCAAATACACCATTGGCTGAAGCAAGTCACTTGGTCATTCCCAGAGTTAAGAGTGGGAAAGGGCTATAAAGTTACATGACAGCATGTAATCCCACCACTCACTTGGGAGGGTAAGGCAGGAGGATCTTTACCAGTTGAGACCAGCCTGGGCTGCAAAGTGATCTCAAGGCCAGCTGAACTGCATAGTGAGACCGTCTCAAAAAGACAAAAAATAAAGTTACATGACAAAGGACATGGATACAGAGAAAAATAAGAATCAGGACCACTGGATTCATCCCCAGCACCTCTCCCCAATGAATTGGGGCCAGTTTTGCAATCTGCAGCATCCACTACACTAACCTTGGCTCCACTTTTCTTTTTTCTTTGTAGGCGGAGTCGCTCTCCCAAAAGAAGAAGGTAAGCTCTCAATTGTTTCTACTGAGCGAGGGATTGGGAAAGGGTGGTAGTATTGTGTGTGTATTACCAAACAGATCTATCAGGCTGATCGATCTTTTCCACAGTCCTTCACCCCGCAGAGAGAGGCATCGGAGCAAGAGCCCAAGACGCCACAGAAGCAGGTCCCGAGATCGACGACACAGATCCCGCTCCAAGTCCCCAGGTACAGCATTTGGGCTGTTTGTCACTGCTTGTCTTAACAAATCTAAGAAGCAGTTATCCTCCTGCAATATAGAAGTACCTAACCATTCTGTTGCCTGGCAGAAAAGGAAATAGATGTGAAATTTGAAAATTAAGGCTTGCTAGCCAGACATGGTAGCACACTCCTGTAATCCAGCACTCTGGGAGGCTGAGGAGCTCAAAGCCCAACCTGAGAAACTTAGCAATTTAGTGAGACTCTGTCCAGAAAAGTGACCAGACATGTAGCTCAAATGAGAAAGCCCTGGGTTCAATCCCCAGTACCACCAAAATGAAAAGAAAAATGGGACTCAGATCTTTTCTGTAGTTGCTACAGCAGCACCCAAAGTTAAAGGGGAAAGATTGGTTTGTTTGAGATAGGTCTTGCTATGCAGTTCAGGCTGACCTTGAACTTATTGTGTAGCCGAGGCTGACCTTGAACTCAAGGATCCTCTTTCCTCAGCCTCCCAAGTGCTGGAATTACAGGCGTGAGCCACCACACTCAGCTCAGAAAGGTTTATTTAGCTCACAGTTTTATAGGGGTTTCAGTCCATAATCGGCTGACTCCAAGAATGAGGGGTGCGGCACAGAGGCCTCACAGAAGAGAAACTTTTGTTCATGGTAGGCAGAAGGTAACAAAGCAACAAGGTGAGCATTAGCAGAATCTTTCTGCCCTTTTATTTAACCCAGGCTACCGAGATTAGGGCAGAGCCAAACTGATTAGTGCACTGATTTAGTAATCACCCACCCTTAATCCTAGCATTGCACCATGAGTCAGTCATACGCTAGGTTTAGCTGCCTCTGAAAAAGCCCCACCTATGACTGCATGAGGCTTTTGGGAGCGGGGGGGACATCCAGACAAAAACCGTAACAATGAGCTTCAGTATTTTCATCTGAAATTACAAGAACAATGCCTACAGGGTGGCAAAGACCCAATGTGATTATGAATTTAGGTGTATTGTCCTGAGGGTATTTGGTTTTATTACTACTTTCCATGCCACACATACACTGCTTGGAGTGGTGCTGCCAGCAAGAGGTTTCACCACCATAGGCTACCTAAGTAATAAACCGATGGGTGGGATTGGGGGAAGTGTGAATGACGGTTCAAGAGTTAAGACCTGACTCATCCAAAGACCTTTTCTTTCACAGGTCATCACCGTAGTCACAGACATAGGAGCCACTCAAAGTCTCCTGAAAGGTAAATGTTGACCTCTATTTTAAGAACATAAATCTTAGTTCCGAAATTAAAAATCTTAAGTTGGGGGTGATGGCACATGCCTATAACCCCAGCACTAGGCAGCCTGAGGCAGGAGGATCACTTTAAATTTTTAGCCCAGCCCCCTTTCTTGCTCCTACTTAGTAAGTTCAAGTCAGCCTGAATTACCTATCTCAAAAATGGAAATAAAACTCAATTGCAACAAAGTTGGGCCTGAAATGTTGTTTTGATGAGAGTAATGTAACTGGGAGTTCTCATTTATTTCAGATTATTGGCGTTTTATCCTGAGAATTACTAGGAGTCTCTTGCACTTTTTTTTCTTTGGAGGGTTGTGGCTTTGGATGTGGTCTCAAAAGACATGATGTTTTTTTCAGTTGTGGGAATTTTTTGTTACTGAGGTCTGAAGCCTAAGGCCTCACACTTGATAGGCAAGCACACTGCCACTGAGACAAATACCCAACTCTGACCTGGGTTTTAAGTACCAAGTTTTAAAACTAACAGTTGAGTGACCTTGGCCAAGTCATTTTCATTTGAGCACCTTTCATTGAAATCCCTGTGCACTATTAACCTCTCAAGAGGTGGTTTCCTTAATGCCAGATTTACAATGTTCCTCTGAGATGGGAAGGGGGGATCATACATAAATCACCAAGCACTTTTTAATGAATATTGTGTCATTTCCATGCTCCCAAGTGTCCACATGTCATAGCATTTGTCAAGTGCCCTTCCATGTTCAGTGTAATGATTTATAAATATATATTCCATTTCAGGTCAAAGAAAAGCCATAAGAAGAGCCGAAGAGGGAATGAGTGATGAATTCAGTTTGGTTTTAGCCCAAATAGCCTCCTGTGGATATGAGGGTACCACTGTGGAAGGATTAAGAGCTGCTCTCCTGGCAGCTATAGTATTTTAGTGTTTTCTTCTCCAGGTTTTTTTTTTTTTTTTTTAAATGGAAGAGGTGCTGAGTTTTGTATCGCTTTTTCAGCTGCAAACATCTTTGAAGGATGTTTCTTAAGGTCAGTTTTTGACCCAATCAACTACAAATATATTCAGACTTATGAGTGTAGAAAGGATCTGGGAATTGGGGATGTGAGTGAGAAAAGATGAGACCATATTAATGACGATTGCCTTTTTGTTATTAAACCTGAAACACCCATTTGACACTCTTCTCTAGTTTTACTTTTTGATTTGCCCCATGATTAGAACTACTTTAAGAATCCTTGGATTTGTGCTGCTATTTATCAAAGATCAAACCAGTATAACATAGTAATTTCTGTCTTTTTTCCAACAATAGAAAGTAGTAATAAACATGAAAACTGGCTGGTCCTCTGGATTATTTAATCCAGTTTCATCCACCAGTTTCAACAGACAGTAGCACTTAATACCCCCCTTTTACAGTGCATTCTTGTATAACACCATTTATTTTTCTCTACAAGCCTTGAAAGCCACAGCTGCTCAGCCTGTAAGTACTGACATTACCCACGGCTAGTCAGTAGCAGTAAGACAGAAGGACAAAAAAGTTTAATGGAGGGCTAGGTGTTGTCACGCGTGCATGTAATCCCAGCACTTGGGAGGCTGAGGCAGGAGGATTGCTGTAAGTTCGAGACCAGCCTAGGCTACATAGTAAGTTCAAGACCAGCTTTACCTACACAGCAAAACTCTGTCTCAAAAAACCCAATTTTAATGGACTGCAAAGTATCAATACTATTCATGGTTTTGGCCCAAATTGCTGGACAGTAGAGCTAGTTGCAAAGAAAATATAGTACAGTAGGAAGACAGCTTTTAGAGGGGCAGGGAACAAGGGACATAGTGGTAATGAAAAGATGTATCCACTTTAAAATTTCTTTTAAGGCAGCAATAATGGATAGCTAGGTAAATCCCAGATGCTTGGAAATAGAGTGACTAGAGTTAATTAAGCATAGCGATCTAGGCCAGGGTTGATAATGTTTCAGCAGTTGTGGAAGATGCTGATGATACTGCCCAGGGAGTATGTGGAGATAGACTAGGAGAACATACAGTAGTGCCATCATACAGGCATCACCAGCACTGGTGACAAGTAGAAGTCACCTATTGAGACTGGAATGAACTACTCACAAAGATGAGGGAATTAGGCTAGAGTTGATCACAGAAGCCTAGGGTCTAAGTACTCAAAAGCAATGTAAAAACTTTTAAAAGTCCCTATGGGCACTGATAAAAGTATTAGGATATTTCCCAGAAAAGTTGCTTTTACCTGTACTTTGTTTCCTCTTAACAAGAGGGAAATGATTAAATAACTTCCTACAACTGTAGCCCCAGAAGCAGCTGCAGAGACCTACAGCCTTACAAGATCCAGCTTTTCTAGGGGCGTCATATCTGGTCATAGGGTAAACATTTCTATTGCTTGTTACTGAACTAAAGAACTTTTGTAGCAACATTAAAGCCATTTTTAAATATTACTTGAGTTTTCATATTCTTCAGTGAATCATTTAATACTTGGATTAATAAAAGTTACTCCTTGGTGCTATTATGACTTACGATACCCTTTGAGACTTTTAAAATTAAATGTAAGCATCTCTGCTCAAGTCTGTCATAGACTCCTAGCACTTCTTTATTAAGGTGGTGTAAATGGAAGGAAATGTCTTTGGCTAAATGACCCATGCACCAACCAAGTCATCAGTATGTTGTTAAAATAAAAATTCATTAAAATAATAAAGTAAAAACAAACCCACAAAGAAAAAAACAGATAAACTACCTCAAACAAAATTCAAAGCACATGTGGGCATGGTAATGAACTAAAAAAGCCAGGCATGGTAGAACACACCTGTGTAACCCCAGCACTCAGAAGGCTGAGACGAGGATCGTCACAAATTTGTAAACAGCCTGAATTCCCCAGTTTCAGGCCAGCTACATAATGAGGGGGAGGAAGAATACTAAAGGCATCATGACCAATGAATAGCAGAAAGCAGAGTGGCCCTGTTCTTTAGTTAGAACAGAGTAACTGGGCCACTGGGAGTGGTGGTGTACACCAGTAGTCCCAGCACTGGGGAGGCATGAGGCAGGATCCTTTGAGTCAGGAATTCAAACCTAGCCTGGCAACAGTTTAAGACTAAAAACACAACTAGCCGGGCATGGTGGCATTCACCTGTAATCCCAGCACTCAGGAGGTGAGTCAGGAGGATCTTTGCAAGTTCGAGGATAGCCTGAACCGTGTCTCAGAAAGACAAAAACAAACAAAAAAACAAAACCATGAAACTGCCAGGCATAGTGGCACATTCCTGTAATCCCAGCACACAGCTGAGGCAAAAGGATCTTGAGTTCAGGGCCGAGAAAACTAGCTGGGGGAAATTTTAAAGATGAGACGTAGCTCAATGGAAGAGCATTCTTGGGTTTGATCCCCAGTATTGAGAGGAAAAAAATGGGGGTGGGGGCATAGAACTAAAGCTCAGAAACCATAGGAATTGAGCAATCTCAAATAATTCTGATGAACCGAAATACATTATATGAGAACTGAGGCAGGGAAAAGCAAAATGAGATCGGTGGTTTCAGATTTTATAATGAGCTAGTGGAAGGCAGTAAAAACAAAAAGCTCCAAAATTCAGAAAAACTCAGGAATTTTACATTCTGCCAAAATTGTCTTTATAAAGGGAATAATATGTCTTTTTAAAAAGTATGCAGTCATGAGGGCGGGGGCACGATTTGTGACAATAAAGGTTAGCCAAACAAGGTGAATCAAATTAGGGACTTAGGAACACAACAGCTAGTAAAAAGAAACACTTTAGAAACTTTGAATAAATGTAACAAGGTGCAAATTAAATGTGAACACCATTACAGAGAAAAAAACAAGAAAAATCAAGTACGCTAGATTCATCTTTCATAGCAGGACCCAAATACAGGCTAATTAAAACATGAAACAAGAAAAAAACCACCAGCCTTTTTAGTGTTTCCCTTAACTGACCATATTTTTAGGAGGAATCTTAGACTGTCTTGGGAAAAAATTTATGTCAAATATTTCAATTCCTATTTTCTTAAATTCAGATAAAATTAACTTACTTTATTTCTTAAATATACCACATGAGCCCAATTTTGTACAACTTCTTGTGAAGCAGAGGTATTACTCTTGGAGGCTGAGGCAGACAGATCAAAAGTTTAAGCCCAGCCTGGGCAACTTGGCAACACCCTGTCTCAAAATTTTAAAAGGACTTGGGGATATTACTCAGTGAAAAGGCCCCCTTCTTTGTTCAACCCCATTACCCACCCGCCAAACTGTGTATATATGTTTCTGTTCTGAATAGTACTTATTTCTAATAAGCTTTTAAGTGATTTTGACGCTTGGTACTTATACAATGCCTTTTGTTCTTCAAAACTTTTTTACCAAGGAAAAGTTACTTAGGAATTTAAACCTTTTTAAAAGTGTTATAATTACAAACTGGTAACCACTTTTCTGGAGGGCAGTTTGGCAGGATGTACCAAGGGTATACTCAGTTTTTTACCAAATAAAAACACCATTTTTAGGAATTCTCCCTAACAGCATAAACACACAAGTAGCTATATCCCACTGTATATAGGAACAATGCAGTGGGAAAAAAAAAAAATCAAAACCCACCTGAAAGGAATAAATTACATAGTTTACCTAGTATATTTTTTAATAATCTTAGCCACATCAAACATATAAAATATTTTTAAAAACATGATCTTAAGGATTTTTCCGGGTAAGATAATTTCATCCAGGCAGGTATCACCTTAGTGACTTATGTGAGACCCCATCTCAGAATTTAAAAAGGGTAGGGATGCAGCTCTATTCAAAGGCTCTGGAGGGTTTAAAACCCCTGTATAACAAAAAAGAAAATCTTTTCATTTGCTTTATAATGTATCCAAACTTCTAGTCAACTTTGTAAACTTAAAAAACTAAGATAATTCTGTTTTTGAACCTGGGAGGTTTTCCCAGTTATTTAAAACTGGTATGTATGGAAGGAAGAGCAAATGAGATGTTGAAAATTAGTATATATAACACCATCATAAAGCAGAACCCCGGTTACTGATCACCAGATTACCCATTAATCCTTTTATACTTCATATTACATTTTTTTGTTTTAGTTTTTTCAGACAGGGTCTCACTACAGTTCAGGCTGGCCTTGGACTCACTATGTAGCCCACACTGGCCTTGAACTCACTGTGATCCTACTGCCTCAGCCTTCTCTGTGCTGGGATTACAGCTGTGCACCACCATGCTTGGCATAATGTTCCACCTATGGAACAGCACATAACAGTATAATAAATTTTTTCTCTTCAAATTCGTTCTCAAAAAAAATTACTAAAAAAAAAAAAAAGCTGAGGATATAGCTCAGTGGCACAAGTGCCTGCCTGCCAAGCACAAGGTCCCGAGTTTGATTCTCAGTACCAAAAAAAAAAAAAGAAATTATCAAATTTTTGTTCTGTTATTTTTCTAGGTAACATACACGAAGTTCATGCAAAAATTCAAACAGTTGCACCCTTCAGCATAAATGGGTTAAGATCTTTTTTGCCTGTGGTGGACTGAATTCAAGAGGGAAGGCTGAGTAGGGAACACTTTGTTACTACAGGTTTTCTTTTGTTTTTCTTGAAAAATTTCGAATACATTCAGAAGTATGGAGAACTGTAAAACACCCCTATACACCTTATCACCTACTTTCCAACACTTAGAAGGAGATAAAATATTTGAACATTAATACTGAACATAATTTAAAGACAATCTTGAATGCTCAAAGTCTTATTTTAACACAAAAGCATATTTGGGCCAGGTATCTCATTAACAAAACAAATGAGCTGACTTGAGCACTAAGATTCTGACATCTACTGAAGTTTTAATATGAAAAACAGTAGTCCTCTTACGTTTTTTTTTAATGGCAGGCTGCAGCTGCTGAGTAGCATGCAGATAACCGCTGCCTCAAT